TTAAAACAACTTTTCTCCCCACTCTCCCGGACTTCACTCTTTCACTGCTGACTTTTCTACCCACTCTCAATAGAGAGCTATAGTCAGTCCTTAACAGTTCCCCTCTTTTGCTCCTTTGTCTTCACATTTTCCCCCTGCTCCTGCACTGGTGCCCCAGGGATCACAGTTCGCACCAGGAAATATCCATATGCCTACTCCAGGGTCCTCCAAGGGCTACGGTGAGGATTCTTTCATTGCTGTGGGACAACTCTTTCTCCTTTCTCTGACATTGCTGTTCCCTTTGTTTTGTTCACTCTGGGTTTTTTATCCTCCTCCTCTGCAGCTGCTCCACTACAAAAACCTTTCCATCTACACCCAATACAGATGATAATGCTGGTCACTGTAACAAAGGAGGTATCAGAATATCCTCAGGAGCCTGTGCTCAGTATGAAACAGTCTTTTTCCTTAAGGTCCAGTGCTACTACCCAGAATTTGTCTCACAAGCCACTGGGGAAAAAATGGGAATAAATCCCGCTATATTTTAACCCATAATTCTTTCATCAGCTAAGCACAATAAAATTCAGAGAGATTCTTGTCTAAAAATTCCTACAAAAGCACATGCTACGCTGATAAAAAAAATTCATTTCTGTGAATAAAATTTTCACTCATTATGCGTAGAAAAGAAAAATGTCATGTGTTTCTGACTGAGAGCCATTGCTGAATTCTTCTCAACTGTTATATTTGTTTTCCCTTGAAAAGCATTGGTTTAAGCAAATAATCTCAGCGGCTAATCTAGTAGTGTGATGGTCCCTACAGAAGAGTTTGTCAGAGAACATAAGAGACTGAGGATCTGTTGGTCCCTAATCAAATATATTGCTCTTTTACACTAATTCCATCTCTAGGAGATATCCAGAAATGTGATTTTTAACAGTCTTTCTGAAAAACACTAATACTATTTTATAAAATGAAGTTATGCTTGAAGTTACTCTGCAATATGTCCTTCAAATTCTCCATTGCTGCATTTAGATAGCAGCCTCATCCACAAGTGCTTTAGAAAACACACAAGATCTATATACTGGCATGGCATAAAGTGACTTTACCTTTCAGGTTACGTGCCCATTTTTTCATGTGGTGCTCTGGCGTCCTTGAGATGTCAAACAAGGACAAGACAAGGACATCCTGAAATGTCTTGACTTTTCACTAGTAAAACTGTTTGCTTTTTTCTTTATATTTGTTGACTGAATTTTATTGTAATGACTAAAACTGGCTCTTTGATTCCCAGACCAGGAGACTGAAAGTTCAGTAGGACATGCCTTTTATAAAGGAAAGTGCCTAACTGCTGTGTAGGTTATCAAATCTGATCTTGTATTCAACAATAGATGAATGCTTGGTCAGTTTCTCACAGCAACTCCAATGAAATACTAAGCTAGTTTTCCAAATAAAGACAACGATGGTATTATTTCAAAAGAAAAAAGTATTTGTGGCTCTCAAGAAAACTGCTTGCAGCATTGACTCTAACACACTTTTCTTCAAACTGGTTTCTTTGAAGACTATGTGTTAACCATAGAAACACTCACTTTGCATGGCACAGTATTAGAATCTTGTTAGTGCCTCTTTCTTTCACCAGAATTTCTCATATTTGTTTTATTTGTGTGAATTCTGTTTGCTGCACTGGAATGTCTTCTGTATTTACTAACTTAAAGTAGAAAATTTTCACGTGCTTTACCTTTAATAGTTCAGCTTTGGAAGTTCAGGAAAATGTACTAAACCTACTCAGTTATTGAAGATTCTTCCTCACAAAATTTGCTTCCTCATATAATCATGTTAGTAGTGGAAGTGTCATTAAGAGGGCTGGCCTGTCACTTTAAACAAAGATTACTATTATCTGCTGTTACAGCTGGTGGTTTGAGTTGGAGAAGAGATTTGGGCACTGGAATCAACAGCTCCAAATATCTCAGCCTTACAAATTAAATCATTATTTGAATACACAAACAAAATAGGAAGAGCTCTTTGTGGGATTTTTCACAATATATTTCCAATATTTCCAACATGCATTCTTACAGATCCAACCTTCACTGAGAAATTGCATAAATCTCTCAAGTTAGAGATCTTATTTTTTGAATAAAAGAAAGATTCAATGTGTTATCTTGGTGTCCAGACATAATGAAATGAGATGCATTTCTTCATTCCCAGTTTGCACACAAGATAAAAGGGGTCAATTGAATAGAGCGTAACTTGAAGTCAACAGCTTCCCCACGCACTCAAAGAAAAATGCATCTCCTCCTTTTTAATCAGACTTATGAATAGATAGGGCTGGTTTCATATGCACTTTGAAGTCTCTTACCCTGCGATTTGGCCCGTTCCCTGTGTTTTTTCCTGGAACATGGTACTATTCAGGGTACCTATGCATATCACAGACTCTGCCATCATTTTTAATAAGTAGCTTATCTCTGTGATGCAACTAAAAGCAATCCTGAGTGTCTCCAGGGTTTGTTGTAATTAAATTTTATTGTTGTATTTGAAAATGTACATTTTTTGAAAACTGGTGCAAGAAAAATGGAAAAGAGATTCTAGAGGGTGATAGTCTGATTTTTAGAAGGTTTTAACCCTTTGTAGTTTCCAGATCCACAAAGCTTATTTATGCTTCCCAAGCAGCTGTTCTTACATGCCTCTGAGGCCCTGAATACAGCAGCTAATGTAGTTTATTAGCTGATTTTGAGTAACTGTCAAAAGATTATCATGTATACCTGCAGTCAGATGCTCCAGGATCAGAGGTTCAGTAATTTGTGTGTAGCTAATAAGATTGTAGAAGGCATTTTCTGAGAGTCTTACAGTCTTGCTGCTGCCCCTTTCTTCTCCAAGTATTTACAGCTATAAGAGAATTTCTTCAAGTCCCAGTACTGCCAACGCAGCGCTGTGAAAAAAAGGCAGCGTTTGCTAGCTTCTGGTTTGGACAATAAAGAAATGGCACTGTTTTGAGCACAGAACCAACCAGTTTACTTATATTGTTCTCTGGTGTTACACTGCCATGCTCAGGGACCACCACCCAAATGACTGAAGGCTGCATCAGCTACCTTTGCACTCACACCTTTGTGCAGTCAGTGGAGTTTCTTGCAGTCTGTATTCAGGCACTGAGCTTCACTTTGGTCATTGTACTGGTTCCAGTTCTCTTCACAGCTCAGCTCATCAGGACTGCTAATCAAGCACGCATTGCAGTTTTCCCCTTTTGTGCTTTATTCCTGCTTGATTTTCATGCCGTGGGGTGCTGTGAACTGCTTCTAGAGATTCATATAACAATTTTTTCCAAATCAAAATATTTCCTCCAAACAATGTCATCTTTTCTGTCTGGCATTGCTACTAATCTTTATTTAGTTATTTACTTTACAATTTCTAGAGGGACTGGATATGCCCAAGGCACCCCTTTAAGCAACACTTTATATCAAGGTTGCATTTATAAATACTTCATGAGAGGCTAATGAATGATTAATAGATGTTTTAATGTATGAGCAATCAATTGCAGATTTTGCAATGTCCAACAGACAAGTAGGTTTCTTATAAGCATAGATTATAACCATATCTGACATCTTCTATTGATGGGCTTCTAAACGTCTATAACATACACACTACTCATATCTGTAACATGCTTAAAACATCTACTAATCACTGATTAAATTTTTATAACCTATTTTGAAGCAGAGCCTGTCTATGGAGTATATCCCTTACCACTGCTTGTGACTCTCCATTTCTAAAAGATAGATAATTTACTGGTCATTTTAGGACTTGGAACTCCTACCAATTTCAGCTACCAATAAATCTTTTCTGAGTTAATTCTAACATTTTCATCTCAGTCTAAGAAATAAATGTCCCTAGACTGCTATGTCCCTCAGACTTCTGGTTGCTCTACCCTGCTAATGCATATTTTGCAAGTTCTGCTATAATGCAATGATTCTTAGGAGGCAAAGCCACTCTAAAACATAGTTTCAGCCTCTTAAACTCAGTTTGATTGTTCTCAATGTTGGACAGCTATCCAAGTGATGAAGGTTCCCAGCGTTTTTGGTTTTTTTACTGTCATCCCTGTGTGTTTCGTTCAATGTTTGTCCTTTCTCAGAAAGGATAAGAAAATAGAAACTTTCCAATAATGCAATGGAAAAGCCATGTCCAAGACAACTTTTGATTCTGACAGAGGAGCACACGTTTTGTGTGCTTGATAAGCACAGGAGTTTATAGGACTGCTCCTCCATGGAATTCCCCTTGTCTTTAAGGTGAAAGCCATGACCATGCTCTCTGCTTTCTGCAGTGCATTCAGGTAGAATTGACCAAAGCAGGCAATACAAATTATTTCCTGAAAATGTATGAGTCCTAGAACTAATCATTCACATTTGAGAAGCAGCATGTTCCTCTAGTATCGTATTTTGCAAATGAATTTTGAATTTTTAGTTGATATCTACTGACCTCACTTACAAGGTTGAGTCTTCTAATGTGATTTATTTAGATATTGAGAACAATTATTTAATAATAAAAATTAAAGGATTTGCAGGTTTTTCTTGGGTTTGGGGTCATCAGTAAAATAGTTTCTGTTCTGAATATCTCCAAGTAAACATTCCACTCCCAGTTAAGTGCTAGTCTTTCACTGTTTGCTCTTTACAGCAGTACTAAGCTGCTACACATGTGGCATTAGCAACATGAGCCTAAACACACACATCAAGCATAACTCGATTTAAAAAAATAGGAGAGAGAATATAGGGTTAAAAATTATATTCTTCAACATCAACATGGAATTTCCTCTTCCTTTTTTGAAACAACCCATTTTCAAAGCCCCAGAAGTAAGAACCTCTCAAACTTGAGCTCTTGGAGCAGATATTTTTTGCACACAATTAAGTGGGTAAAAACCATTAAAATAACATAAAAGTTACTGTGCTATCACTTTTATATTATCCAGTTAGCATTATATGTTTATCATGGGTTTTATCATATTTTTATATTTTAATAAAACATCATATATTTTATTTCTTTTTTTTCAGCTGGTTAATAATCCACTAGCAAGTCAAGCAGCAGCAGCTGCAGCAGCAGCAGCCATGGGCTCCATAGCAAACTCCCAGGCCTTTGGAAACGCCCTCTCCAGTCTTCAGGGGGTCACAGGCCAGCTCGTCACTAATGCACAAGGACAGGTGAGTAGAAGATGGAGCAAACAGTGAATTCTGATGGCAGGCTGATCTTGGGACAAAAATCAGTTCCGCCTGTATGACAGCAATTTAAAAGTGCACATGTTGAAGATAAATAAATATTGATTTGTGAGACAAGGTAAGAAATGGAAAGTCTGAGAAATAGGGGGAAGATAGGCACTCTTTAAGAGTGTTTTCAAGTAAGAAAAGGCTAAGGATTTGTTTTAGTTATCAGCCCTTTATTTGTTTGTTTTATTTATCATCCCTTTAAAAATATCGTAGCGCAATACCATGCACTACTATTTTACCATTTTAAAAGTCCAGCAACCCTGTGATTTTTAACAAAGATACCATCTGTCTTCTTCCATTTACACACGCCTAATAACAGACACCTTTACTGAAGTGGTACGGTGCTTCACTTTTTTGCATTTCTGTGGAATTTTTGTATGATGTCATTTCTTAGAAGGCATTAAATGCTTCTAGTAAAGGAAAATAAATTGTAATGAAGTATCAGGGATGGAGTTATCTGAGTGGCTTCCTCATTTGTTTATTAACTATGTTAAGCAATTTGCAATTACTGTGCCAGCCTGTAAACGCAAATAGGGGAGATTATTTTGGTTTAAAGAAAATTTTCCAAACAGAAACTTGAACACTGTTTAAGAGTTAGTGTGTCTAAGAGAGAGACTGTGCATTACCTACATTATGGAGCTGTTTATTTCTTAAAGCTGTTTCAGTTTCACTCTTAGTATGATGCAGAAACATATGCATCTGAATTCATATATATAAAAATAATTCCTTTGATACACCATATGTAAGTGGCTTTCAGATTGTGGCCACTTTCATTCTTTATTGCATTTGTTAGGACTAAAATTAACACAATGCCTTGTTTCTCTGCAATGGATCTGTCAATATAACTGGTAACTGAGTAATTTGAGTGCCATTATTCTAAATTCTACAAATTGGGCACACAGTGATACCCACAGTGTTTTTGTGGATGTTAGGCCCTGAAAAACATTTATGGAAATGATGCAGCTTGGATGATATGTGAATCTAAAATTTATTTTCTACTCTTACTGTTTACTAGTGATAAGAAAGAAAGGGCAGCTCTTCTCCTGGCAATTTTCTGCTAGTTAATTGGAACAAAGGCGAGTTTTTTATTTTGGCCCATCAAAAAATAAAATTCAACACTTTATAGGACCTCCCCTGTTTTTTTTAAACAGGACACATAAACAAAGATGCTTCCTGAGCTTCACTCTCACCATCCAAGTCCCAGGGAAAAAAAATGCTGACCTTGTTATATTTACTGGGTGGGTGCAGAATTGTTCCATCACTACCCCGAGGGTTGAACGATGGAGCTTGTCAAAGTGAGGCCTTATCTAATGAATCATCTTATCGCAGGTGCACACCACACATATTAAAGGAGGATTGTATGAACAATGTGCCCTCTACAATAACCTTTCAATGTCTACTTTAACCCTTGTTTCAATCCCTTTTCATCAAAGGATCATTTTATGCAGCCAGCTTTAAATGGAGGCTCTCAAAAGCCTATTAAGATTTCTGGAGGGATGGGGTATTGGTTTGGGAGAAAAGTTGGTTATAATACCTATAACTCATAGTCAGATCAGCTCCAACATAGAGCCTGCTTGTTTCTATCTCCTCTGTGCTCCAGAAATGGTTCACAGTCACCACTTACATATGAAGCACTTGACACCAAAGATGTTCATCATAAGAGCTGAAGTTATGAATGTAGACTAATTTCTTTATAACTTTTCCTTTACATATCCTCCACAGAAAACAATCTATGTCTGACCATTCATTGTATCCTTAAAAAAACCCCATTACTAAGAAGATATCACTGAATGAAGGTTTCACTCAGGCTGAGTTTGTTTATTCCAGACATAATGTAAAGTCCAATAATTCCACGGGTTGCAGAGAAAGAGAAAGGAAAGGAATAATCCTCCCAATTGTCAGAATAAAATTACAGCACCTAGCTATCTGCCTAGGTCTTTTAAATAAGGGTTTTCTTTTTATTACTTGCTTTTGCAAATGTCCCTTGGTTTATAATCAGTACTGCAGACCTTGCCACAATATACATAAATATTGATACTAAGTGTGTAATATAGCATGCAGTTTTATAATATTCAGCATAAACTCATATTACTTAGAGACCACTTCTCAGGCTGCCTTAAAACAGAACTATTCAGTATAATTAATCTACATTCCAGAAATTAAATTACATTCCCTTCAAACTGATAGAATTATAGCACCTAACCAAGAGCTACAAGATGTTTCTTCAAAATTGGGAGCATAAAGGAATAGTAATTTGAAACGCTCCATTTCTGAATAATCTGCTTGGAGTCACTAAAGAGCCAGATTTGCACCACACGTTAAGAATTCTGCTCTTTGAAAATTGTCCCTTTCAAAGAATCACAAGCATGATCCCCAAAACTCACTCCTGAAAATATAAAGCTGAATGAGTAACTAGAATGTTGATATGTGCAATCTTTGTAATTACACGCTGTTTCTGTTACAGAAATTCAGGGCTTGTAAATGTCCATCTGTCTAGCTAAATATATGGTGATCAGTAATCCCTGGAGACATTAAGCTCTAGGTCAAATCCAAGATCCTATGCCAAATTTAAGGGAAATGATCCTTTAAATGACATATGGCATGGCCTTAATTCCCAATAGTCTAGGAGTTCTTACAATTACAGTAAAAAATCATATATATTAACAATAGTTTATATAACATATTTTTATTAAATTAATTATTGAATTCAAAGTTATGGCATATTTATCTATTTTTCATCTTTTGCTTTGGATGGCAATATAAACTGTAACACCAGAGTTTCCCAAGACTAAACCAAGAGATCTAATCCATTGAAACAATATGATTAGATCACCTGATTAATTTGATATAGTACACGTAGAGGACTCTAAATCAAATTTTCATTTTCAGAGGCATATTATGAAGAGCTATTGGCCCATGTAACACGGCTTGCATTCTGTTTGCCCTTAGCACTTTCCAGGAAGTGTTTGCAGCACTGGGTTTTCATATCTTAAATTTAAAGGCCAGGGTAGCAGGTTTGCCAGATTGCACCCTGTCAGTAGATTTCAAAGAGAAACTGTCTACCTATTCAGCTTCAACCTACCTTACAGTAGGACCCCAGTGCCATTGCTGCCCTTGGATTCTTCAGAGGTTTAACCCAGTACATCTCTTTTTAATGCTGGTTTTGCAAATGAAATAAAAAATCAAGACTTTTGTGTTGGATTTGCTATGTTTATTAAATATGTGAAATGTGTGCTTTGGCAGTTGTCATAAGGAAATGAGACACAGAAATATGAAAGCAAGGTTGATGAATATGGTTTCTTAATTATCATCAGTTGCATTCATATATGCCTCTTGACTTCAGCAGGATCAAATACATTTTAACTGTGGGTGCTGAGTAAGTTTATCTTCTCTTTTGAAAATATGGGAGTTGTCTAACAGTAGAAAAACACCACTAAATTCAGCAGTTTCAAGATAACATTTTACCATAAAAGAAAAGAGTAACATGATGAGACTTGGCATGATGAACTGCCTTGTGGATAAAGAGGGCAATAGTCTGTTTCTTAGGAGATTAAAAGGAAGATCTAAGTATACATGGTGTAATTGTATTGTCCACACTTTAATTGAACAGGGAATTAATTGGGATTGTTTCATCATAATCTAAGAATGCCCCTGAAGTAACCCACACTTCATTGAGCCCATGCCTTGCTCTTTAGATATGAAAACCTTCTGCATAGGAAAAATCTTAAGCACACGTCCACCCTGGTACTTAACAAAAAAATAACTGATTTTTGAGTGTTGTAGTCCACAAGTAGCTCAGGAAAATAAATAGAGAGAGAGGCATTGTTGATCCAATTAGATAATAGGAGTACTTTGGTTCTCATTATTCTGATGAGAGGGTACACATTTGCTCTTTGAGCTTCTTGATGGTAAACGGTGCTAATGAGGCCTGATGGATTCCCTGCTCCTAACAAGGCTCTCAGCAGTGCGAGTGATTACAATGGAGATAGATTTGATGGGATGCGCTCCCTTTTGTAGTGTCTCAGCTGCTGACACTCTGCGACATAATCAGGTCACAGAGCCGGTCACAGCCATCAGCAAAAGCCATAGCTCTATTCCTCATTATTAAAGTGCATTATTCAGTTCCAGGCCTTCACAATACTGCCAAGGGCCTTTTTTTTCTTCCCCTTTTTTTGTTAAGCATCAGTTCTCAAATACAAGAGTTAATAAAATCATCAGCTAAAGAACTAGTAAATTAAAGAAATGGAAGTAAAGTGCTCCCTTTCAAATTCATTGAAGGATCACAATTAAATAAGCAGGGAATTTCTCATAACCACACACTGTACAGTACAATGTAATATGTCATGTGCAATAACAACAGGGCTAGGATTTTAAAAAATAACTCTGTGCTCATTGTGGACTGGCTTGGAAAGTGCTGAAGTATCTTTTATGGTAAAGGAAATTTCTGTCTTCGCAACTATTACATGCCTACATGTAGGTACTATTATTTTCACTGTTTTCTGTAACTACTTTTTTTCTGAAGTGAGAACAGTAATTTGCAAACTAAGTTTATGATTCTAAACAGAGAGCAGCTGTCTTGTCTTAGCTTAAGTGGCCAAGGCCACAATCTGGAAAATATTCAATAGGCCACAGTACTAGAACCTCTTTGTTCCCATAGACAAGGCCATTACCTTCTTTTGGGGAGTGAGGTAATTATAAAATGGTGTGGGAAAAGGTGTTTGTAGCATTTTCTTTCTATTCTGATGCTGTTCAGTTGGGGCTATCCCCATTCCATGAGAAAATATTCTTTTAAAATCTAAGGCATGTTTTAATGCAGTTTAGTTAAACATGTGAGAAAAAAATAGTGGAAAGCTGGAATTGGAATTAGTTAGTTAGTTGGTTAGTTAGTTATTAACTTTTTGTTTCAGTTTTGTTTCAGCTAAACAGCAATAAGATAT